AGAAATGGGTCCAAGGGCGTGGGCATAGAGGTGCTAGTGGCGGCTTATAGGTGGCGGCTTATAGGTGGCACTTGAGAACTTATAGGCTGTTGCTTGAGTTTGATTTTGAATTCGAAAATATACAACACTTCCTGAAGTGCTACTAAATAGAAAATTACAACTATTGGAAAACGTTGTTATAGGCGAAACAACACAATTATTGGTAAAAGATGTTGTTTCATCAAAGCTCGTAACCTTGTGAATCAACACAAACATGACCTATAAATAAATCATTCAGAATTCAGAAATCACATTACAGAATTCATATCCTCTTTAGAAAACTCCAGATTCTCTTCCCTACATTCGTGTTTTCACCTGTCTTGTGCAAACTCGAGTATAGGCTTAATTATCCTAAGTATTCATACCTAGAAACTCTAATACATTCGAGATTGCTTGAAGTACTATAAGGAAAGTGTCCGATTCACGATTTCAGCTTGGATACATTCAATTTAGAAGTTTTATCTAATAAAACTTGTGTGAACAAAAGTTATCTCCTGGACAGTGTTTTGAAGTTATCATCTGAATGCATTATTAATTTAGCCTCACACAATAAAATTACTCTCTCGGTTCTTTTTTAAGTGACATTTTTTACTTCTTACACATCAAAAAAGTTAATCAATATTGTTACTTTTCAAACAATAATTTTTCTTTTACCTATAATACCCTTAATTATTTAATACATTCATTTTACTTTTTCTCTCTATGTGATAAATGCCTAGGGGTAATTGTGATAAAAGTGCAATTAATAATATCTTGAACTTTACAGGTGAGAACTAAAAAGGAACAAAAAATTATCAAGAAAGTGACATTTAAAAAAGAAACGGAGGGAGTAAAAAGATGTGTTCGGAAGTTATCTTTAAAACACACTTATTACATTGTTGATCATTTGGATTGAAAAAATAAAAATTAGAGAATTTTTTAATGCACCCTTTATGTTTCTTATCCACCACGCGAAAAATATTTAAATGCCTTCAGATTTCGAAGAAACATCTTTGGACTCACTAAAGTCTCAATTAACGTTAAAATATTTCGGAGATACATTTCCGAAATACTTTGGAGATTAAATTGCATCAGACCCTTCTCATACCTCATTTCTCATTTTGCTCAAAACTACTTCAAAATCTCTCAAAAATTTTCTCATCACCAAGTCAAAAAAACAAACAACAGAGCTCAAGGGAACTTCAATCAACATCATCCAACCCTGAAGGAAAGTTGAAATTTGTAAGTTTTTTGATGTTTCGATAAGTTTTGAGTTTTTATATAAATGAGTAGAAATTAATGATTAATGTTAGAAATGAGTAGAAATTGCATGTGTGATAGATTAGACATAGTATATTACACGTTTGTTGGCTGAAAAGGATGAGCAAAATATTTTTTTGAGATTGCATGGGTACATTGGCGCCATTGATGCAGTTTCAGTTGCATAAAATTCTGGAGATGCATTTTTGAAATTTTTCAACATTTTAGTTTCCAAGCAACCGGAGATGCATCTCCGGAATTTACTCAATAATCTTTTTCTTGGTTGTGGTATTGTTTTTCTCCACTAATTGTCTGCTCTACTTTAACTTAAGGGCATAATGGCTGATAGACACGATAAACCGAGGTACGAGAGGGTTGTATAACACATATTAGTGCAGTAGGAGAAAAGTCAATAGGTTTTTGAGGCTCATGGTCTCTCTGGCCACATAGAGCCATTGACTTTTGGGGCTCGTGCTTCTGCTCATGCTTCTTCGTCTTCTTCTTCCGTATGAGACAGAATTCACCTACTTGCGCATCACTCTTGAAGTACCTGGGTCATCAGTGCTACCGGAGGAACCACTACCACCTCCTACTGAAGATGCTTCTGAGCCAATGCCACTTCCTACTACTGATGTTGCTAGGCCAGTGTCACCTCCAGAGAGTGAGGTTGCTACAGATGTTAAGCTAGAGGAATTTGGAGGAGGCATTGTAGATTTGTCACTACTTCTTCTGTACCCAGATAATACTGCCATACATATCTGAGATGGAGAGGTAGCTTTAGTACTGCCAGACATATCTTGGATGGAGAGGTAGCTTTAGTTGGATTCATTCTCTTTTATTTACGTTTATTTTAATTGTCAAGTTTCTGATGTTAATTTTTATTTTTACTAGGACCGCGATCCGCTGATGTTTATTAACCATGAGCGAAAGATTATTGGCTTACTTTAGCCGAATGAGGATTGGTTTCAAGCACTTTTTTCCTTATTTGGCCTGAAGGACTTGTGCATGACCGGTTATACTAAGGTCAACCACGGGATGTTTAATGTATTCATGGGGAGATGGCACTCGGAGACCTCATCATTTCATCTCCCTCTTGGTGAGATGTTTATCACACTCGATGGTGTCTCGTGTTTGCTACATCTTTTGATCATGGAAAGTCTTCTACATCATAGGAGGATTACCAAAGATGAGGCACTCGAGATGATGGTAGATTATATAGGGGCTGACCCAACAAATGCGCATGAGGAGTTGGATAGAACCAGGGGTGCTCATGTTAGGTTTGAATGTCTGAAAAAGATATATACAGCTGAGATCCTGAGAGCACAACATGCTACAAGTAATGATGAGTAAGTGGGGCTCCACAGATCATACGCTGTGAGAGCATACCTACTATATTTAGTTGGCATTAAGATTGTTATGAACAAGAGTTTCATTTATACAGATGTCATCTACCTAAGATACTTCGAGGATTTCGAGCGGATCCATGAGTGCAATTGGAGGGCCGCTTGTTTAATCTATCTATACTCAAAGTTGAGAGAGTGTTGTACGTGGAAGACGAAGCAGGTCACAGACAACATCACACTACTGACAGTAATATTTATTGGTCTTTTAATATTTCTTTGTCATTTTTCTTTCATCTTTGCAAAGTCATTGTTGATGATTCATTATTCCGAACTTTTCATTTCATGCTTGGATCCTCCAACATTTCCCGCGCATATCCTGCTAGCAAGTGTACAAACTTACTCTAAGGATAGGCCTTGTGCTACTGCTTTTTCCCCGCTCAGAGGGAACCATGCAACTGAGCCTTATAGAGTGTATCTTAATTATTTGGTTGTCGAGGACATGCACTTAAACAACTACTAGATCACCGTGAGATGCGGCCATTTAACGAGTTAGTGTTATACTCTGGGTGGTTGGTCTGCGGATCATGTCTCACTGCTTATTATCTGCCTGAGCGAGTCATGCGGCAGTTCGGCTACACTTAAACCATTCTCAAACACCATGTTGTCTCTGTTCCTCCTGTTGTGACACATAGACAAATAGATGACATGTTTGATGATTATAAGAGTCATCTGGTACTGGAGGAGACATGGAGTACCATAGTTGTGAGCGACTAGAGCTACATGGATGAGTATATCAGATGGTTCTTCAAGGTGCCACATCCGTACATGGTGCATGTTGCTCCGGGAGATCCGCTGAGGCCAACTCATCAGGAGATACTAGAGGAGGAGGAGGCACAGCTAGATCATGCAGAGGATATCTTCCCTAGATGTTGTCTCATAGTGAAGATTGCGCAGGCAGACATTGACATTGTATCTTTTCTAATGGGTCTGATGTGAGGCAGGTCCTATATGTCATCGTGACGGAGGCATGAAGGGCATTGATATATCAGAGACAGTGTCGGAGGACGGGGGGATTGATGACAGAGGAGATGTAGTCTGACATACACAGTAGCGCATTAGTATATAGTAGTAATACTATGGATTGTATTTTATTTTGACATCATGCTACTTTATCGTTGTTCTCGACTTTTTTGACATTTATTGGTCTTTTATTTATGACATTTTTGGACCATCTAGGTTTATGTACGCCATTTTTGCATATTGTTTATATGGTTTAAATCTTCATCTAAATACACGTAAGCAATACATAATATGTGTTTTAAATCATCATCTAATAAGTTACGAAGATGTATCTCTGTAAAATTCACGAAATGCATCTTTGATACAATAAACTCGTATAATAACTTCAAAGTGTGATGCATAGTATGTATCTTAAATTGTTACCGAGATGTACTTCCAGAATACTTTTAACGTTCAATCAAAATTGATGCGTTCAAAGATATATCTCCAAAATTCGTTGATATTTTTTGTATTTTTGCATAGCAATTAAAAAACATTAAAAATGCATTAAAAATTTCTCTTATAAATCCATTACCCCCTTATTCATTTGATCTCCCTCAATAAAAATTAAAGGAATTTTTTGAAAAGATAACTTTTGAACACATCCAAACAAAATCAATTGAAAATAGAAGCGCCTCTAAAAGACAACAATTTCTAGTTGTTATAAAGTCTAGACATTACTCTGTTACTCCTTTTTCAAATGGACCAAATCTTTGACAATTGACAAACTCATCGCAAAAAACTCGAACATACAAAACCAAACCCCTAAATCTATGAGCATGTTATAACATTACATTTGATAAAACTGAAAGAAAGAAAGAAAAACCTAACCAAAATAAGATATCACACCACACTTGTTCAAATGAGAGACAATAAAAAAATAAATGTTCAAGAAGTTCTGTCACTTTACAAAGAACTATGATTTAAAATACTAGGATGAAACAAATTCTCCATTGCTGATAATTTGTTGATCAACAATCGCCAAATAAACAATGAAGCCTTCAACAGAACTAATTTGTTAATTTGTTCCACCCGATCACATGAGTCTGAAAAGTATCTTGGCCAATAATTTCAACATCTCTCATGTAAAAAGACACTAAAAACTGAAACTAAAACATGATAATGAGAGATGGACGCTATAGAGAAGAGGGAACACAAGTTACATCTTACAAGTATTGTTAGGTTTGAAACAAAAGGACCAAGTTTAAGCACCGTCCAAATTTGACACACAACAGCTTTATTCTTGTAAATACAATTGTGTTGTGTAATTTACAAATCACATCAGCCAGAATCAGTTGCACGATTCTCATCTCGTTCTAATTAATTCAAGAACCTTTCCAACAAGTTCCCAAAGAAGAAGCTTACTCTAGCCCATCCTCGAGATGTTTCTGGCGCTTTCGTGTTGGCCGGTACCTTCTTCACATTAACCATTACAGTCTGGCCAATTTCTTTACGCAGTGCATCGATAATGTTCATGTCCACAGGGTTTCCATATGCATCTCTCACATAGAAAACATTTAGTCCTTTCTCTCCAATGGTTGATACACCTGCCCTACAAACTGTCAAGCCGTTCTCTCGTAGAATCCTAGTCACTTCAGACAGCAAACCAACTCTATCTTTTGCACACAGCTCAAGGCTCACACCCTGTGTCCATCATCCAGAGGATCAATGGTAATAACACTATCATCTTCTGTCAGTTTTTTTCTTCATCATTCATTTATTAATTTATTTATTGTATGAAGAATAATTAATGTCAAACTTAGAAGATGATAACAATATGCATGATAGCTGATTCAGCTTATATATGACTGATGATGACATGCATTTGTCACATTCAACACCATTAATTAGTTATAGCCCCTACAAAATCACGACTGTTCAACTTTAGTCTATAAAACTTTTACCGTTTATACTCTTGAAAGATATAAAAACTGTGTTTTTAGTCCTGTCGATAAATAATTAAAATCACAGTTTTTGTTAAAAATAGAGATTAAAAGTGGATAGAATTTTAAAAGGACTAAAGCTAGACAATCATGAGTTTATAAGAACTAAAAACATATTTAACATTTTGTTTATTTTGAGATTAGAGATGTGGATGATATTACGTGTTGAGCATAAGGATTCTTAAGCTCTAGTGAAGACAAAAGACCATCATCCGTCACCGATTCATTGGTGGATACGATGGTCAGATACAATCTGAGTGGAACTTATCACCATGTATGTATACCGTACCATTCGCAACAATACAAGCAGATAGCTGCAGGTTCAAAATGTATTAATTTGGTCAAACTCAGAAGACTTTCTGCTGAAGAATCACATGCAGAAAAGAATAGTAGATCGCTGACTTCAGCTAGAAGAACACATAGATATGAAGCTATGGGGAATTGTATATGTCAAAAGAAATATCCAAGTTTGTTAATAGGGCAGGAAAGACTTACTAATAAGAGCTGAGAAGCAGGAGTTTGTCCTTGAATTGTTTTTTACTAAGGATTAAAGTAGCTAGCATATACATAAAGGTCAAATTTAAACTGTACGTTACATTACCTCGCTTACTCTTCTTTGAATAGCAGCTTCAATGCATTTGACGACCCTTTCTTTCTCCCCTTCAGTGTCAAGTGTGCACCCATCCACGTGCCTGATGAAATACTCCTAAAATTACGACATCAACAACTTAGTCTACTTCAAATTTTGCCTATTAGTAACTAATTTGATGCATGTGTTACATTTCATACCTGTGATGCATAAGGGCCTTCAGATGAGATTGAGGCATGAAAAACAACATATTCCATGTCAGTGAGAGTGCAGACAATGTCAAACATCAACTTTGCCCGATCTTTGCATTTCACACTAACGACTGAGTAGCCTTTTTCCTCAATACGTTCTATTCTGATTTTTGGCCTGAAAGAGGGAGGACAATCAACATTTGTTGTGGTTACTCCGGCACTCTCATAATCCCTATCAGCAAACAACATTTGGTGGAGCCTTCTGTCCATGTGGGTGAAGGTGAAACCCATGGAGAAACTGCTCCGAGCCACTTTCTCATCATCCTCACATCCACGTAGGATGTGGTTGAGCTGCTCCTCAATAATAGACAATCTTTTTGAGTCATTATCCATTGCTTGGTTTGTAGCGTCATTAACATAAAGAACACATGCTATTCGCCTGTTATGAGTCCAAACTTCAGCTGCAATCACATTGAATTGGAGGCTTGCAAGGACAGCTGAGATCTCTGACAAGAGACCTGGGCGGTCCTTACCAATGAGCTCAATGGCTGTATGATCACCAACGGAGTGCACGCCAACTCGTTTGCCTGACCAACTCTTCACACCTTCTGTGCTCTTGCGGCCCTTTGCTCCTAGAGCCTATTGAAGTGTTCACAAACAAGTTCTTAGTATTTGATGTGTGTAACATACTTAAGTTGCTACAAGGACATGATTCTACTATATGTAATTATTGATTTTAATAGAACATTTTTGTATCATTCTATTTTCGTAATTTTAAAAATATTATTGATATTTATGTTCTGTTTACGATATAGCAGGGTAGATACTAGCAGGAACTTGATCAATTGTTTCTTTTAGAATTATGAACACTGTCAGTAAGGGAGTTTCTAGGGAGTTTGGATGTTCCTAGATGTGTCTATAAAGTCTCTCCAAAGATTGAAAGTGCATTAGACACTAAAAAAGGGAGACGGGCATAGTGCATATCAGGTTCTGCTCCTATCCTTGCTTTTGAGAGAACAAAAATAAGAATTGGTAAATCTTGCATGGTTCCTTTTCTAAGATGAAGATAAAGGCTACTAAAAGCTTTGCTATCATATCTAACTAAAAGCATCTCGGATAAACATAGAGGACAGTAAAGACACATACCTTTTCAATGAAGTCGATAATTTTGATGTCTGTTATCTTCTTTCCTTGCTGGTCCGTGACATGAAATACTGTTTATTACATTAACTAAACATATTAACTACAACTTTTAATATGGAATGTTCTGGTAGGTCTAAGAACGAATGTGCATAATTTGTGCAAAATTTACAAGGGTTTGACAATAATTCAGTTGCCGGAAAACTCGGCTGATGCAATCTCAAAAATATTAACGTTGCGACCACAATTTAAAATCATAGCCGAGTGAATGAGAGATATAGGATATAAATAAGGGTTTGACAATAAGGCCATCTCAAATTCATTTTCAAGACAATGTCTACGTTGATATCTCGATAAGAACTAAAAGTGTTCTGTTTATTGTACAAGTACTTCATCTAATAACCAATGAATTTTCTATCTTGGTGACTAAAATATGAAAAGAAGCATATAAGTATGTCATGGACATATTCACATATGTAGTCATAAAAAAATTGAAGATCATGTTGATTGCAACCAATATTTACATATGCAATAGATAATTACCAGATTATAATTAAGCAAATAATAAACCACAAGCATGAATGAGACACGTCTATGTAGTATCAGTCAATGCATTGTCGGTTCAAGTTTGAATTCGATTGCAAACGTACCATCCATAAACCATCCACCATCAGAAGATATGTAAGCTTTGGTGATTATGAAGTCAAGGTCGGTTAGGATTTGAACGACTTCCAGCAGAATTCCAGGTTTATTCACACTATCAATCTGCATTATTGTAAAACGAATCCATTATATATTGCATCAACTTATCTCCGTGTGAATACCATGGAAGTTAAATGATCTAATGATGACGGCCACTTGATGTAGCCTATTATGCTGCCTAATTTACAAGGAAATGAAGAAATTATTTAGAAATTCACTGAAAGAGGTTTTAACAGGAGTTCTATCTTCTCAACATGCTTTCAGTTTAAATTTTCAACTAGTTTTTAGTAATGAAAATATTGCTAAAGATAAGTTTCTGCAAAAGTAAACTAATCATAGGAAATCCAGACGGCGTATCAGAATTGACTGAAGGCCAATAAGTGTAACTCAAAGAAGTTAGGTTAGGTTTAAAAAACAAACAATGCTACGTGTTTTTTTTCTCTTGTTGGTCCACAAAAAGCCAAAGGGTGCAACTGACTTAAAAATCCAGTGGCTAGGTTTCCTTCAACTGGCAAATTAAGACTCAGAATGAGACCATGAAAAATATTAGAATTAATTAATTATTTTGAGGAATTATACCTTGATCAATGTACAATCATGGCAACTATCATTGTCCATAGAGACCCTGCGAAGTGGAAACAGAGTTCACCAAAACGAGCAACTTCTGGATATTAAAAATGCCCACCATATTCCTCAAGTCCACAAGGAGTTTAACCTATGACACAACTAGGGATTGAACTGATAGCATCTATCTTATAACAAAGGACTAGTTTTTTTTTTTTTTTGACAAAACAAGAACTAGTCATTATGAATTAAAAGAAGCTTTTAAATTTATGTTGTGCAGTTCTTTCACCTTTTGACCTTTAAGATTAAGTTAAATCAGTCAAATGACACCGAAAAATGTGATAATATAAAAATATCTATAAATGCCAATACTAAAAATCGTCATTTTGTTATTTATTAAAAAAATCAGTGCATTTTTTAGATTTTAAACTGTTTGCAGATCATTGGAGAAGAAAACAAGTAATGTATTTCAAAGGAAGTTAACAGTGAACCTTGGAGGGTTGATTCTGTTGCTGAAGTTTTCATACTCAGGATCAAAGTATGGCCAACAAACTTTTGCCATTCAATTTCGTTCTCCTGTCAACAAATTGCTTAGTATTCCCTTAATCAAAAGCAACAAAGTCTAGTTAGATGGGAAGTAGAAACATTATTTTCTTATTCTAATGTGCAAATTCCAACAATAAGCACATAGAGGAAAAGAAACAAAAAAGTAATATTTTCCAGAGAAGGAACCCATAGTGAAGGAAACAGTTAGTTTTGGGTTGATGGAATATTTCTAGGATTTAATTGTTGACCAAAGGTTCATTTATATCCTATCCGTGACTATGTGACAAAGACAACAGAAACCATATTATTATTATGACTTCAAAGATTATTTATTTATTAGTAGCGTTTTCCTGAAGATGTGCTAGGCAAAATCATAGAACATTGAGATAGAGCATCTGCCATGTTGGCTTTAGCAAGGAGATCTCAGCTGTTCTTAGTCGAGTGAGGAAGAGGCTGCCTTTTTAAGGTGTTGAACCTATCCCAAAAGATATTCCAGGTTTCCAAATTGTCTAAGAGAAAAGTGGGTGTTCAGCCTAGTAATCGACTACTGAGTGTGTGGTAGAGAGTTATTAGTGAAACTAATTTCATCTACATGAACTGAAGCCCCTGCTGGATATGAACTGAAGCCCTTTGAGTGCAGTCTTTGGACAGTCAAAGCAAGCTCTTGAAGCTTGTTTGAGACCAATAATTGCTTAGTGGAACCAGTAAACGATGGATTTATCTTGTGCTTCAAAATCTGGGGGATGTTGCATATAAACTTTTTCTTCAAGAATGCTATTAAAGAAACTGCCTAGAAATAGGAATGGTGAGTATTGTTCGTATAGTAAGTGGTCTGACAACAGAGGAAAAGGTTAATGTAAAACAATTCAAGTTGTTGATAATAGCCCTTAGCTACAAGTCAGACTTTGTACTTGTTAATTGAACCTTCCAAGGTTTGTTTGATCCAAAACACCCATTTGCATCCAATGGATCACCGATTAGAAGGGAGATGAACAAAGGACCGTGTGTTGTTTTAAGGGGCTGATATTCAGTAGTCATGATTGCCAACCACACAGGATTCTATAAGGAATTTTGTGATGAGTGGGTTCTACTACTTTGAAAAGAAGAGTAAGGTCGAGTCTTGGCTTTTGAATACCATCTATTCCCCTAGTTGTCATAGCATGAATATAATATGGATGAAAAGTAAAGCAGCAAAAGGATTGGAGTTAGTTGGACGAGTGATATATAGACTACAAGAGTATTGACTACAAGGGTAGTAGATGCAACAGATGTACCAAATGCAAAATTATCAGATGCAGGGGTATGGTGAGAGGTGTCATTGAATGTCACAAACATAGAGAATAAATAGAGGTGTAGAAACCAGATTTCATTGAATATCACAACTTTTAAGATTTAAATGCTTTCTTCTGAGACTAGACACTTGTAGCCTTTATGTATCGGGGAATATTCTAGGAATACACATTCTTTTGAATGGAAGGATAGCATGCGAATGTTATAGTCTTATACACAGTCAGAGATGTGGAAAACAAGCACATCCAAACATCTACAGAGTTTATAATCAGAATTTGATGATACAATGATTCAGAAGTAGGGCGACTCCAAACAAAGAGTGTATCTGGTTATGTAGTTAAGAAGACATGATCCAAATAAGAGAAGGACAGGTCAGCTTGTGAAAGAAGAGTGAGCCTAATTTCGACTGAGACATTTAATGATGAGAGTGTGGCTGACTGCAATAAATGACACCATTGGGGGTAAATACAATGCTAAAATTCAGTTTCATATGTCTGAATTAGGTACAAAACTGAACGTCTACCACAGTTTTGAAGTGACAAAAGATGCTAAACATGTCTTAACTTCTATCTTATAACAGAAACTAAGTTATGAACTAACGAGTTAATCTAACCAGAGTCATCAATCCCAGATAGCGGAGCATAGCAGCCTATTGAATGTAAACTAGGATCAAACTTAGTATATCTCAAAACTGACAAGTGTCATTTTTGTATCGCTATCATCTGCTACTGCAGGTCACCTATTTTGGTCTATAAAAGTCAATCTCTAACAAACTGTTGTAACTAACTTTTGAGAAACAGAAATAAAGTTATGATGAAACTGAATTCTCTTGTAGCTTTCTAATATGGTATCACCTAGCTAGGTCGATCCATGGCGGAAGCTTCTCCATCAGTGTCGCCTCCACCGAAAACTTCCTCCGCTCACGTTACAACTTCTCTAGCGCCGGTGATGTCGTCTCAGTTCGATGAAACACGTCGTCTACACTTCTCTCTCAAAATTGCGCAAAAGCTAGATGAAAAGAACTTTCATCTATGGCGCCAACAATTGGAACCATACATCAGTGCGCATGATCTCACCAATCTCATGGTATGTACTTGTGTTCCGTCTAAATTTCTTGATGATGAAGCTCCTCGCACTGGTACAGTAAATCCGATGTACTCTACTTGGATTAAGAAAGACGGATGTTGCTCTCGTGGCTTCAATCCACGTTATTCGGCGAAATCCTCTCGCGTGTCCTTGGTTGCTCCCATGCTCATCAGCTATGGGATCATCTGTTTTCTTACTTTCAGAAGTAAACACGAGCTCGTGCTCGTCATCTTTGTGTTGAACTTCGTGCTATCACGCTTGATTCTCTTTTTGTTCAGGATTATCTACTCAAGATTCGGACGACTGGAGACCCTATTCCACCATCTCATCATATTGATGTGATTCTCGAGGGACTGACCACTGAATATGCACATGTCGTATCAGTGGTTGAAAGTAAATTTGGTCTTTATGGACATTGATGAAGTTGAGATTCTTTTTCTTGCACATGAACTCAGGCTTGCTAAGTTCAAGAAACGGCCTATTCCTGATCTTGTTTCTCTTAATCTCACACGTGTGACACCTCAATCTGCTCCTGTGGAGGAATCTCAGGCTCCTAGTACTGATTCTTCCTCATCTCAAGCTAGTTATCCTCATGTGGAACCAGATTACAATTCTTTTCGTGGTGGCAGATCCAATCGTGGTGGCACATTTGCCAGAGGCCGTGGAGGTAGGTTCCCTGGCAATAACAGCATTCAGTGTCAGGTCTGCTCTAAGTTTGGACACACTGCTTCAGTATGTTGGCATAGACTCAATTCTAAGTTTCAACCTGCAAATGGTTCATCTCATTTCGATCAGAATCCCTGGTATGGAGCACCAAACTTCTAACTCAAGGCTCTGCTAATGTGTGGTCTAGACCCCCCAGGCCTACAGCTACGCTCTCCCCACCACCAAGTACCTTTGTAGCCAACACACTGCCATCATCCTCCACTTCAGCATTCTGGTTTCCTGGCTCAGGAGCATCCTTCCATGTTACCAATGATGCTAAAAACATTTAGCAACCAACTCCTTTTGAAGGTCATGATCAAATATTTGTCAGCAATGATCAAGGTTTGAACATTCTATCTGCTGGAGTTGGTACTTTTCCTGCACCTTGTCAGACACACACACAACTCACTCCATAATTTACTAAATGAATACTATCAACCCCGGCTGTTGGTGAAGGCTTGGGTTCCATAAGGTGTTCTTCTCAAGGTCACATTTTGAATTCTGCTAGGTGCTAATAGTTCTTGTATTAGGTCAGTCCATTCAGAGTTTTCCTGGGTTATAATTCAGTTCTTAATGTTTAAATAGTAATCTTATTATGGAAGAACTAATTAAAATCTGCTATGAATTCAGGAATTCAGTTTACTGTTTACTCTGTTAATCTATCTACAGAATACAAGATGCAACAAGATTATTACCAATCTAACAAACCTCTGAGTAATCTTTCACGGACGTAAAGATTAAGCGACCTACATTGACGATATCTTTCACCGGCGATGACGGTGCTAATGTATACGGTAACCTCACCGTCGGAACAGGCTAGAGTCATTGCGCGACGGTGTTTGCGAAAAACACCATACGCAACAACCGCAAATGCTGAAATCAGACGAATCCATCTCCGTCGGAGAATAGAACGACCGAGAACGACGATGATGATGAAGATGGTAGGAGTTTTTGGCGGTGCCGGGAGGAGAATAAAGAAGTAAAAATCTGATGCAGATGACTTACCATAAGGTCCTGTAAGTCTCATCATCATCTAACGGCTAAAGAGAAGGCGTGGATCGTACACTATATATATAATTTTATTAGATGTGTAATGAAGAGACTAGTATTTTATAAATACAATTTACCATATGATGAATAAATAAATAAATAAAAACTCATGATAAAAGTTTGAGAAATATTTATATTTGATTCATATAGTTACTTACTTAGTATATTTACAATAATTTGTTTGATAAGCGATTATGTGACATAACATATAAATAATTTGAATTGATTTGCAAGATATGAATTCTGATGATGCGTATTGTGTAAGAGAACTCAAGCAATCAATTCAGCAATTCATAAACAGAAATAAGAAGCACATACCTGTTGTTCAACGCGAAATCTTCACATCCTCCACAGTTAGGTTGAGGAATATTATAGCTAGAGAGAGATGAGAAGTAATTATGACAGAGAAGCACTTTTGTTGTGCTATCCACGTTGGAATGACAAACTATGGAACATTTGTGTTTAGGACTTAGCACTACTACTGGCATAACAAAAAAATAACAAACTCATTCAATAAAGCTCTTGAATCTTTGTCCAATTTATTGGAACATATTGTTACACTATTTCATACATAGTCAGCATCTACAAGGCACAACCCAAACACAAATATTAAATCAAACAAAGCGTTTATATATTCTCTATAGTTTTCAGTGGATAAGTCTCACATCGTTTTTGTAACCGGTGTTGATGCTGAGAATAAAATATACATTTAACCAAACCAATGTTACGCTTCCACGTATGATATGTAGTGCAAAATAATGGGTATTATAAGAGGAAAGAAAAGTACTAGTGCATAATAGTTTAATGTAGTAGCGCATATTAAATGAACGGTGTTGGTATTTTAGTGAATTTTTAATTTGAAATCCAAGTGAAACCATGAATTTA